CCCAAGTACAAAGTTTCCCATCCTCCAGAAAGCTGCAGCGTGGCCCGCTAAAGAATTGAGAAATGGCTTCGTGAAAACGCTCAAAAAGTCCCTAGGGTCATGTCAGTTCTGAGACATTAGTAATCTGAGAACATGTACACTAACTCGGTGCTTTGCTGTACAGATCTTCTCAGACGGCGGTTGTAGTTCCTCCTTCCGTCTGCACCACTCCAGTACAGTTGATTGGCCTCAAGGTTTACCAGAGTTCGGGGATCATAAGCAGGGTCCTCTTCCTCAAGGTTATCAATGACAGCCTCGATATGTGTGAGTACATCTTCTTTCCTCATGGGGTTTGGCGAGTAGCAAGCCGTGCCGTCGAGCGCAATACGATGGTGGAAGATCTTGGTGCTGAACTTGACGCGAGGCTGCTCGTCAGGGAACCTGGGACTGAAGTGAATCTTGATCTTGAAAAGTCCTCCGTCGAGGTTGGTCATGGGCCGGCCAAAATATGTGATAACCCACACGAAGGGGTTGTTTTCCTCCAGCTGTATGTCGTGGGGTATGTCCCTACGCTTGAAATTCTGAATGATCTGCTCGAACTGGTGCTGCAGATTCACACTGACGGTAGTCTCTCTCCTCTTGGCGTCAAGACCCTCCCTGGCCCAATCGTCGACCTCGGCATCGATGGCTCTCTTGATGTTGTGCAGACGACGCTCAAGCTCGGTATAGTTGAACTTGCCCTCCATGGAATTACTGGAACCTTCGAAAGGCATGCGAACGAAGGGCTGATGATCTTTGACCTCTGCTTTGGCCTTTCGGATGGCCTCCAGATAGGAATCGTAGTACCAGAGGAATCTACGCTTGCAAAGGTCTTTGAACGGTTCAAAGGGCACCGACGACTCATCAAGGTCATCCATGTCTTGCTCGAGGCTATCATGATCGGCCGCAGACTGAGATGCGAGCGCCACGCCGTCTGGGGTGAGGCCGAGATATTGTTCCATACGCTGTATTACTGAGATTCGGAGTGTCTCATGGCGGATCTGTAACCCGTCAGTCTTCCTGTCTCTATGACCAAGCTCGCTATTACTGACCTTTTTCACGTATGCCTCTTGGTTCTTCTTGTCAGATGGATCGTTCGCTTCCTCGAATCCAGGTTCGTTCTCGTAGGGATTTCCTGACATCAGGCTCTGGATCGATAGCAGGATTGATTCAAGTCCTTGAGCTGCAGACCACTCCTCGCCCCGTTCTCCACGCCACGTGCTGCATTGTCATTAGTTGGTGAAGACAGTAACAGGCACAGGATGGTTACCCCAAGATAGACCTTGTAAACATCAGCGAAACAAGTTTTTGATAGATTTTGACCACAACTTACAGGCAGACTTTGCCAGTTGAGTAGATATTTGGGTTAAAGCGACAGCGACCTGAGTTCGTTGTGACAGCCGTGACCTGGGGTGACTTGCGCGGATAGTCTAGGCAAGGCATCAGCACTCTACTCGTGCCCCGGCGTTGAGAATGAGAGCTACCTTTGTTGAACTTGAAAGCAAACTTAACAAACGGTCAGTGACAGGATACGTCTTGCTAGTTCTTGAGCTCTGGAAGCACCCACCTCGAAGAAGCCGAACTCGTACGGAGTATCGGCTGGCCCGATGATCATCGCGCGCACGTTACGAACATCGACATCTCTACATGCCACAGCGAGTGCTTCATAACATTGTACGTCAGTCAAATCGTTGGGGATGTTGGGAAGGGGTGTCGCTTCGTACAGAGGTCGGAGGATCGCTGGAGATCGCTGAGCTCCTACGGACAGCATGGTCAGCGCCACATACCCGATGCTAGAATTGACCGATGCGAACCTTTGTAATCCGTATAATCGACTGATCAGCCATGACAAGCGGCTTTCAGGGTTTTGACGCCCAGTTTGTGTTTTCGTCACGCACGGTTGGTTCTGTCCGCAGAGGGGTAAGGACCAGGTACTGTATGTATCATGCGTCGCAGTTTTGCTCAAGCGTTCGAAATATATCTGTCGCGGAAAGGACGGTCGGTACCTGCATGGATACGCAGGCAGCAGCACGGAATGGAAGGTCGTGGCAGGCAAGATACGGCGGGTCGAGTCCGGCGGTAATGGGTTGTAGAGGGAAAACTGTCGACGCAGGAGCTGTTTGGCGGGGTAGGCGCGGGGCTGACAAGATAGCTTCCTGATCAAACAGGCCTCCAGGTTGCATCGATCAACAGAGTTTCCCCACGAGCCTCGCAAATTAGATATCATGTAAGTGTAAACTGGAGGAGAAGCTGTTCTCGACAGCCTTCTAGAGATCAAGCCGTGTGTATACGGAATATGATGAGGCAGACGATAGGATGGTTAAGGTCACATGTTCTACGAATACCCCACATCCAATCGGTAGAGACGAGACGCAAACGCACGATGCACGGTTGACACGGGCCGTTTGTTACCACTGTGCTTAACATATTACAGCATTCTATTTCTGGGTCATCGAGGTCTTCCTGGTGGAGGCCTTGCCTGCGCAAAGCATAGGCTGATTCTTCTTTGTCGCCGATCACCGTAGCCCAGCCTTCAGGGTACGTACATGTAGCACGGCATACAGTAAGCAGCTTCGGCTCATAAAGTCACCTACTCCAAGGGAAAGGACGATGCTTTAAGTACCTACCTTGAGGTACCTACCTAGGCCGGGGTTTACCACACGAACAGCGACTGATTGAGCTGAGTACTGGCCCACGGTATCTCAACTACGGCGGCACAGTAGGTGTCCAAGAGTGGACCCACCTCCACTTGACGCAGGCATCCACGTCGTTGCCTTGCACCCCAACCCCTGCCACAATCGGTGCATCTCGCGGGGCCAATTGACGCGTAAATGGATTTCTAGCACGCGTCAACTGGGTCAATTCCGACCTACTAGATTTCTACACCATTGCCAATCTCGCGGATTCTCTTCAGGACGATACTGACGATACCACCAAGGACCGCTTCCTGCCTCCCCTTTCCACCAATACAATCACGATGGCTAGCTTCTTCGATCTCAAAGCGAGAAAGCAAGCAGCGGCCAATGGCGCTTCTTCATCCCAAAAGCAGGACAAGTCTTCGCAGCCACCACGAGCGCAACCCTGGGTCGAGAAATAGTATGTGTTGTCCTGAGTCTACGTTTGGAACCCGATAATGATTATTTCTAGCCGTCCGAAGACTCTCAGCGACGTTACGGCCCAGGACCATACTGTGACTATCCTGCAGCGCACTCTACAAGCCTCCAATGTACGTGGCTTTGAGATTCGGAACGCGATGTAATGAGATGCTGACGACAGAAAGCTTCCACATATGCTATTCTACGGCCCGCCAGGTACATGAATATGGAATCTCTTCACGCTCGACAGGGGTTGTTAACTGTCATCAGGTACCGGCAAAACCTCGACTGTCCTCGCTCTTGCAAAGGAGCTCTATGGCCCCGAACTCATCAAGACCCGCGTCCTCGAGCTGAACGCCTCTGACGAACGAGGTATCTCCATCGTACGCGAGAAGGTCAAAAACTTTGCACGCATGCATTGACGAATCCGACTGCCGAATACAGAAGCGATATCCTTGCCCTCCCTTCAAGATCATTATCCTCGACGAGGCCGATTCATGA